ATTACGCAATTAAAGCTCCAATGTAATCCAACATATATAAATATCGTACCTCTTCTATAAACTCAGCTGTAAGATTTCTGTATTCTTGAGTAGTGTTATCACGAAGCTCGTCTGTGAATGTTTTGTTTTTAAGACTGACATCCATTTCCACTTTGATTGGTACTAGAAATATCCAGCAAGAGTTATATAAGTATTGACTACTTTGATAAATAATAAACAGAAACTTGAAAAATAAATTTCTTTTAAACTAAAATTTAATATGCTGATTTCGAAAATGCAAAGAAAAATGGGGTGTCCCAAGCTTATTTTTGAGATTATCACTCCGGAATGACGTTTGTACAATTGTCGAAGGAAAACAGCGAAAATCAAGCTCTGTACAAAAAAAAAATCATAAAACCGAAACTAAGGAAGAAACATTAGTAATTACACGTAACTTACACTATATTTATAAGATACTGATAATAGTTGTTTTAATAAACTATTGTAGACAATGTAAAAACTTTTTTTGCTCAGGTTCTACGGCGTGCAAGTTATCGTAAAACTTGAGCACAAAACAAACAGTGACGATTTTTTACATCGTTCTAATAAACAGAATTGTATTAAACTTTGAAGTTTAAAACGTGTATGGTTCTTCAATAAAATCGTGAAGATTATTCAGCGGTTTTTGAGCACGCGCACATCGTGAGCTCAAATCGAACGATCACTAACATCTTAAAGAATAAAGATGTTGAACTCAAAAATTTACTTCCGGTCACGTGATAATGTCTCTGGACTTGAGATTGTACTCTTTTGTTCGCCATAACTTTGAAGGGAAAGGTTTTTTATACCATTCCAGTCATCCTGCCTGAATTTACGGAAAATTCAGGGTCATATTTTTTTAAATAAGAATTTTGAGCTTCCAAACTTACCATTTACAGTAAGAAAGACATCTGCCCTAACCTCTTTTTGTCTGTGTTTAGCCACACACGTGTATTTACCAGAGTCATCTGTTGACACTTTAGTAAGGTCTAACTGCGCTGTTACCACTTGTTTGTCGTTTGAAACATCCCTTCGAGTCTTTAATTCTATGCCATCTTTGAAAAGTTTTACTTTCACGGGGAAGGCTTCGCTAGATGCAATACATATTATGGTGGTTGAGCTTTCTTCATTGTCGTTGAAGAGTTTACGACTGTTGATGATGTCAAGTGAAGCTATAAAAGAATAAGGAGTGCATCACGTTATCGCGTGCAATTGTTTTTCTTTAAATTTTATTGAAAGTCAGAATCTCTGTTCTGAATCGGGAAAGAAAGAAATAATACTCAAGAGAATTACACGTGTCATGAGTATAGCCTCAAAATTCTGTGCATGGTATTTACAGCATAACAAGTCTGAAATGCACTATGGGCGATGTAAATGCAATTATTGGAAGGTGACAACGATATTGCTTTTTTTTTTTTTTTTTTTTTTTTTGTACCATTTATTTAACAAATTTACGATGGTTTAGCGTGGTATGTCCTCTTATTTACCACGATATGACGTCAAAAGTTGGTCAAAATGTTATGGACTCACGAGGCGTAAGCCGAGTGGGTTCATAACTAATTTTGACCAACGTTTGGCGTCATATCGTGGTAAATAAGAGGACATACCACGCTAAACCATCGTAAATTTGTTTTTTACTACAAAACTCTAGGAAATAGACTGCACGAAATCTAGCATGACGCCATTTGTTGGTATGGCCTCTTATTTACGACGTTTTTTAACCAATCAGCGCGCGAGAAAATTTACAATTGTGGTAAAAACTTAATTATCTATGTCTATAAGTACATAAAAATTTTATAATGAATAAAATTTACAAAGTCGTCTTTAAAAATACTAGAAGGTCACAACGATATGGGATCTCCAGCCGCATATTTTCTCCTAATAGTGTACTTACATTATTTACATATGATCCACAGCACATTTCAATCTTGGTAGGCAACATGCAACATGCAACCAAAACCTTCACCGATCTTTTTTTGAAAGAAATAGACACCAGTTTACTTACTGTTGACATCAATAAAAACCTCTTTGAGTGTTATGCTGCCAAGACTATTGGTTGCTGTACATCCGTAATACGCAGCATCTCCGATACGCACGTCTGGGATAACTAGCTTAGCCTTCTTTTGATCAGCTAACATTATCCGTTCAGTTTTTCCTGGTAGTCTTTTCGTCCATACAAAAGATGGTTCAGGATCTCCATACACATTACACTTTAGTTTAATGGTTTGTCCCAGCTGTAGCATGACACCTTGGGGCAATGCAGCGGCTTTTTCTGTTGGTGGAACTGTTAAAAATATGGTGTATTTGTGAATGTGAATACAAAGTTATGTAAAAATATATCAAATTGAAGAAACAGTTGAAGAAAGAGAAAGCAATACTGAAGATTTTTTTTTAATGGATTGCTTGAATATGTAATCATGGAACATTCCGGTCATCATCATGCATCTACTGCAACATGTTAGTGATATTATGTTTGTCTTGCCTTATATGGTGTTTATACCCAAAAATAAACCACAATGCATCAAGTTCGTTATCTTAAAAAAGTATTTTTAAAAAATTGTATACGATTTTTATCGATTCAATATACAGGATAATCTTACCAAGTACAGTTAGCGATGCAGATTCTTCTGTTTTCCCAGCCCTGCTGCTTGCGATGCATGTATACCTTCCTTCGTATTCTCCAGTATTTCGTATGTTGTGCATCACGAGTTTGTTCCCAGTGTGTTTGGGAGTTGAACTACCGCTGAATCT